TTACCATTTGTTACTATTAGTTACTGTTAGTTACTATCGTTACTATTTGTTACTTTTGTTAAAGTTAGTTATCATGGTTATCGTTAACAAATTCTCTGTTTGATCTTAGTACGACATGCTGATAAAGTGGGAGGGGTCTCAGGCTGAGTGAAGTGATAAACCAATTATCTGTGTTTTAGCTTGTGGGGTTCGTCGAGTCACTGATACAACGATGAAGACAAACCAATCTGAAGAGAGAAGGCCTGGTCAAGGTAAGAAGATGAAAGTTTGATCTAAACTGCCAGACCTGATCCTGGTCATTGACATTTCCTTGGAGTTTGTACATTAATTTTTGCGTTTTGTGTTTCCTGTCAGCTGTGGGCCGGGTGGTGGGTGGAGCTAATGCAGTGAAAGGGTCGTGGCCATGGATTGCGTCTCTTCAGTGGCGAGGACGTCACATCTGTGGAGCCTCTATGATTGGCAGTGATTGGCTGCTGACTGCTGCTCATTGTGTCTATGGGTGAGAGACTCATCATGTCGGTCCATCTGTCGGTAATCATTAATAATCAATAACGTCTTCACACTGTTATTGTTTTCATTAGAACTAGTCAGAGCTGATACCTGATGTTGCTCAAGTGTTCCCGGTCTCTTTCTTGCCTCTCTCTCCCCCTCCTCTCCTCCCCACTGTCTCTCTGAGGACTGCAGCCTGTAGGTGACGCTAAAATCACTGTGATGATGCAGAGCTGTTTAGAAGCTTCTTGTGTTTGTCCAGTAGGTGTCCTCACAAAGACATAAACACATGATCAAGACATGATGTCACTTCCCCCCTCACAGGAAAAATGTCCACCTCCAGTCCTGGACCGCTGTTCTCGGGCTTCACTCTCAGAGCGACATGAACCCTGCGGAGGTTCAGACCCGACGAGTCGATCGCATCGTCATTAACAGACACTACAACAGACGAAGCAAACAGGCTGACATCGCCATGATGCATCTGGAGCAGCCAATCAACTTCACCCGTCAGTAACAACAGCATTGATTTAGTGAAAAACCTTTTATATTGTTGCAAATATCTCATCGATTTATTGTTGTAATATATTCACTCAGGTTTATTTTAAATTTCAACTGATGATTTCAAATCATGGTATGAAATACAATTTTCAGTATAACTCTATCCTTATTAAATAAGTAACCTTCAAAGTAAGAGTTTTATAATACACAACAATCACCAACAGGAAGTTGCTGTTTGGTCAAGAACAACTACGAGTTTCCTTTAATGAACAAAGAACTGTTCTCTGCAAAGAATTTTGTCACATCACCAGAAAAGTAAAAATCCTGTTTGTCACGATAAATCAAAAACATGTCTTTCAGAGTTGATCCAGCCACTGTGTTTACCTGCCGAAGGTCAAAACGTCAAACCAGGAAAACATTGTTTCATCGCTGGATGGGGACGAGACGCTGAGCAGGGTGATACACCTGTCTCTCTCTCTCTCTCTCTCTCTCTCTTTCTATAGTTGTTTTCAGACATGAACTCTCCAGAGTTCATGTTTCACAGCTGAACAACTCAGCAGCAGGTTTTCTGCTCAGACTCGTTCACAACAGCATCAGATCCTCCTCGTTCTTCAGGTGAGAGGTGGAGCAGACAGACAGGAAGTGACGTATTGACTCTGCTGCAGATTCTCTTCTTTCCTCAGCTGAGTCCTGAGGACCAGAGACTCCCCCACCTTCACTACACAACATGCTTTACTCTGTTGCAGTTTGTCTCTCTCTCTGATCTGTCTCTCTCTCTGACCCATCTCTCTCTCTGTCTCTCTCTATTCTGTCCTGGATAATACATGAGCTGTATTTGTAGACAGATAGCTAACAAGAAAGACCCAGTAGGCGTGATTCCAGGTTGAGAACAATTTACTGAAATCTTCTGAGACTTTTTGTAAAACTGCAACACAATGAAAATAAACATAATGTTACAATTGAAATTAAATATATGTAACAACACTGGTCACACTTTCTTTTCAGGTTATAAACCAGGTAAGTACAACACAATATTACATGAGGCATACACACATCTTTTTACAGTATGCTCTAACAGGCAAGTAACAGCGTAAACACAGTAAATGGTGATAATAGTTCACACATAAACATAACATATAACATGAATGAGGCCTGAATTGAATCCACCTATGCTAATAGCTACAAACCTGTTAGCATTAGCATTGTAAGCACTATTTTACCAACTAAAACAAAGTTTTTTTTAAACTCTAATGCACTTTCAACAACTTAAATGAGCTAACAGCAGCCATACTTACTGATGGATCAACTCCAAGGCCTAGACAACAACCACTCTGTGGTGGAGCACAGCCTGCTTGTGCTATGTGTTTTAGTGCACTTCTCAAGTCAGACTTTTCCAGGCGCAAAACCCTGACATGCCACTAGGGGGCCACTAAACATTATTMAGACACTGACAGGAGTCAGAACACTCTCTCTCTCTGATCTGTCTGTGTGTCTGACCTGTCTCTCTCTCTGACCTGTCTGTCTCTCAGGTTCTCTTCCTGATGTTCTCCAGGAGGCAACGGTTCCCCTGGTGGCTCATGATCAGTGTAAGCGTCAGTTACCAGAGTACAACATCACCTCCAGCATGCTGTGTGCTGGGTTCCCTGAGGGTGGAGTAGACTCCTGTAAGGTAACCACTTCCCTGGACTCACCTGGTCTCACTTGGTCTCACCAAGTCCCACCTGGTCTCAGGTGTAAACCAGCTTGTTGAATCAGGCCCTGCATGGCACCTGATTTTTGTTCTCATGAATTGATCTTAGAGTTCATTGGTTGGTCGTCCGCACATTAAATGTTTTTGTTGTTTTATTAATAAAGTTTTAATGTGTTTCATTCCAGGGTGATTCTGGTGGTCCACTTATATGTCTAGAAGATGGATACTGGACTCTGATTGGTCAGTATCTCCCTAAAATCAGGGGCCACACAGTTTCACTGGCCAGGTGTTGCCCTCAGGCTGCTGTTTGCCCTCCTTCTTCTTCTTCTTCTTTGTTCAGCTTATATTATATTTTATCAAGGCTCATCCACACACACACACACTCACACACAAACACACACACACACACACACACACACACACACACATCTAACCAGTGTGTCTTCAGCGGGCATTGACTTAACCATAGTTACTACTTCCCCAACCCTGGGGACACCTGCTGGTTTTATAACGCAGAGACAACAAAACCATTTTATCATCTTTGCGTTATAGAACTTGCAGATCCAGACCGAGGTGCAGGCGATCTAAGCGACTGCTTTGTGCAACGTTGGCAACGATTTGGGATAAACATTAAAATCTCTAAGCTGTATCATAAGAGTTTAATACTAATTATAAAACTAATACTCAACTAATAATAAAATAATATTATAGTAATAGTACCCTTTATGTGGTAGTTGGTAGTTGTCTCCACTCATTTATGAAAGGACGGATTTCCCTCCCTGGTGTCAAGTTTCATGTTGCCGAGGACTGAAGAATTGCTATGTTTTGATTGGTTCCTGCCAGGTGTGACCTCATTTGGGATTGGCTGTGGACAACCTCAGAGACCTGGAGTCTATGCCCGAGTCTCTGCCTTCAGCTCCTGGATCGCCCGGACCAGACGCTCCTCTCTCTCCCCATGACCCTCCTACTGGACTCCTAGGGATTCATCACATGTTGTTCACCCTGCCTCTTTAATTATAAACTAACGAGGACATCATTCTTGATGATCTCTGTCAGCCATCTTGTCTGTGTCACTTTTTTTTCTGTTTCCCATAATTAATTAAAATACTTTTTCAGCCTGCGTCTAAGTACACTGTAAAAAAAATCTACTTTAAATCATCAACTTTAATTTATTACAAAATGACCTTGGTACAAAGTACTGTGAGCTGAGAGAGTACAATAACAACATAAGATAAGCTCAACTTTATTGATTAATTCACTCATTACAGCAGCAAATCATCAAAACAAGTTCCACAATAGAAACATCTACCTGTCTCTGTCTGTATCAGTCAGTGGGGGCGGGGCAGTGTGTCTTTAGTCTTCTTCCAGTCCTCAGATAAACTACAGCAGTGGTCGACAACTTTTTGTTGATTATCTTTACAATGAGATTTGTATTTTATCAGAGACTTAGACAGACAAAGGAACTTCATAAAAGTCACAGAATCACTTTGTGTTTGGCAATTTGTCTTCAGAGTAAAAGCACATTTGTTTTGTTGCTGTAATTTATTTATACTGAGCTCAATTACAGATCTCTTATCTTGAAAGCTGTGAGTTGTGAGGTCTGAAGATCGTGTCGGTTGACTAAGAGACTGAAACAATAACATCAGTTCAGTAAATCATTCAAACTTGTATATAAACCACACACAGGAATAAAGAAAATTCTGTTTCATCTGATGAAAATCAAATCTTCAGTGCAGATAAACCAGGTAGGATGAACACAAAGTTTTCTAACTTAAGGAGGGGGGAATGAGTTGCTTCAGACTAAGAAGCACAAGAGGAAGTAGAATTGGTCTGATGTACCTGCTGAACATGAGGGGACATACCCATACTCATCCAGTTAACAGCATACTGGAACCATGTCAGGAAAAGGGAGAAGAAGACAAAAAAGAGTTTTGGTTAGAGGATTGAGAAGAGGCTGAAGGACATGGGAGTAGTGGACAAGAAATGAAGTCCCACTGTGCCACTTTCTACAACCCAACCTTGGACTTGGAGAAGTTGATTTGCACTTATTAACAAAGAAGGATAAAGGAATACTCAAAAACCAAGTAGGTAAAATTGTATTTATTATTAAAATACTATAAGCAAAATAAAAAATAAAAACTATTAGTGAGAGGAATTGTGCAAAATATACAGTTATTGTTATTTGTAAAGTGTCACAGTGTCACAGTCACATGTAGGGACATCAGTGCAGTTCAGCTAGAGTCCCAGGTCTTGTTGATGAGGAGCAGCAGTCGGGAAGAAACTGTTTTTGTGGCGTGAGGTTTTGGTCCTGATGGCTTCCAGCCTCCTGCCAGAGGGAAGTGGCTTAAAGACTCCATGTCCAGGGTGGGAGGGGTCAGCTAAAATCCACTGGTTTGAGAGTACTGAGCTCCAAGTTGTTGTCGATGCACCAGGTCAGCAGACTCGTCCCTGCCAGAGATGAGTCCGATGAGGGGTGTGTCATCTGTGAAGTTCAGGAGCTTGACAGACTGGTGACTAGAGGTGTTTTGGTAAAGGGAGAAGAACAGAGGGGAAAGAATGCAGCCTTGGGGGATCTGGTGTTGATGGTCCTGGGTTCTGAGACATGTTTCCCCAGCTTCATGCGCTGCCTCATATTAGACAGGAAGTCTGTGATTCACCTGCAGATGGAGTCAGACACACTTAGCTGTAAGAGCACGTCCTGGAGCTGATCTGGATCATGGTGTTGAATGCAGAGCTGACGTCCATGTGGAAGAAGCCGGGAGAGCACCCTAACCTGGACCAGAGGATCAATCAGTGCAGGTGAGAGCTATTAGCTGATTGATCCTCTGGTACAAAAGGTTGCAGAGCTGCCTCAAGGAGACACGCACAGAGTCACAGAGCTCTGAGTGATGGAGACACACAAGAGATTGCTGAGCTGAAAAGCTGGGGTGCCAGCTAAAAGAGCTGGTGAATCATGCTGAAAAGCAACACCCATGTCTCTGGCTGTGTGTGGGAGAGCCCTGTGGCATGGTCCTTTGCCACAGTGGCGCCCAACATGGGGCTCCACGCAGCCAGAGACGCGGCTCTGCAGTTGGAGACTGCGCTGATTCGGTTGGCCGAGGACAATGTGGCTGCTTACCGGGAGCAGGCAGCGGAGAACTGACAGGGGCTGGAGGTGCTCCAGAGGCAGGCGGAGTGGAAGAAGGCGCTAATGGAGCATCTGCTGACCTGGTTGGGGTGCTGAAAGAGACGCTCATCCAACCCCGCTGCTCTAAGGAGCGATACAGGAAATCGTTCATCCCAACCGCAATAAGACTCTATAACTCATCTACCT